AAATGTATGATGTCAGGTGTCACCAAACCTCCTTTTCTCCCACATAGCCATCAGCAGCGGTGGTGGCGTAAATAGCTATCCTGAGCTGTGTGTTTATGCAGGTTGAGTTATTTGACTACTTAAAAAGTATGTCCTGCAGTTCGGGAAGTTGTATATTGCCTTGAATCATAGTGCTCCTAGACATGCCTATAAATGAAATGTAAATTATTTTTGTGTAATGACAAATACCTCTCGTGCTGTACACTCACTTCAATGATTTTTGCCTGTTGCTATTGCTCTGGAAGAGAAAAAGAGTCAAAGTACTGAAAATCACTGGTGCTGATCTAGATACAAAAGGAAGACGTCATTTTCTTTGGGGTCAGAAAGATAAAGGGGAACAAGTTTTTGCTTCTAAGAAGCCTGGAAAAAAGTGAAGATAGCATCCATATATTGTCATAATAAAGCTGGCACTGCGTACAGGCCAATGACAACACATAATTATACTTAACGCTGTACATGTTTGAACTTGCATAATTGAATGTAGAACGTTTACTGATTTTTAGAAATAACTTGAAAGGATGGAATATATTAAAATGTCCCTGTTTATTACTAGACAAGATCTTTCACATAAAAATTTTTTTAATCCCCCCCCAATCTCTTGGACATGCTTTTGTCATCTGGAGACTGATGATATCTCCTATCAAATATGCCTTTGGAAGCCCTTTTCAGCACTGTGACATTTTTGAGCAGTCATCGGGTTCTAGTCTATTTTTTTTAACTATTGACATCATCCAAGAGTGGAAAAAAATTATCACTGTAACTAAGTACCACGACTTTAAGCGAAGAGGTAACATTAGAAACGGTCCCTATATGCCTGGCCTGGAGAATTAAAGTTTTACAGTGTAGGGCACACTTCTTTCCCAGTAAAACTGGGAAATGTGTTTCAAAATCGTCTTTGATTAAAATTTATTATAAACAAAGCAAGGCTTATAGGGAAGGATATTGTCTTTAAGTAGATCAATTAATATAACAAACATCCCAAGGTTTTGGTACTACAAAGACCATTTCTGATCTCAAGCAGAGATGGCAGACTTCAAGCTAACTACTACAATTATGCTGATGGCATCACCTATGTTTGCTATCCTTCTGGAAAGCGAAAGCATGTGTGACAGTTGCAGCTCGCCTCCTTCCCACCCACCCCCAAACACTAGCCAATCTAGCATATGTTTCCTTTTCAACTAAGTTTCAATTAATTCTGACCCTACAGCCTGCATCCATAGAATAATCACAGAAATGGGAAATGCTAATATGTGTCTTGGGAGGCTGGCTCTCCAGTTCCGTCTGGTTTAATGACACAGCACATTTGGAATGATGTAACTGAATACAAACTCACCGTGCTTTTCCCCAGCATCCTAAGTAGTATTGTTTCTGACTGTTTCTACGCTATTTGAAGTGATGCAGCTTAAAGATGTGAGAGTACCTATGTAAGAGCAGATTGTAAAAATGAGTATAGCAATAAAAAGTATTTGTTTGGGTTTACCTACTCATTAGGGGATTTGATAGAATAGCCCACCATCTAATATGTGCTTCTCCTGGGCCAAGGTTTCAACAGGTTATAAGCAGATGACTCTCCTTGACTGACTTACCACTTTGCATTGGTATTCATTCTGTTTGCGTTACGTGTCTGGTTATCTTTTTCATTTGCAGAATCTGTGAAGTGTTTGATGTAGCTGAGTAAACATTTTGGTTCCTGAAAATATGTTCTGAATTAGATGCCATTACTGTACAACAGTACACTAACAATATTCTGAGATCACTTAAAGCCGTTTGTTTAATAGCACAGTGAATGTTATTAGACTGTTACAGTAAGCACGTTAAGATTAAAAAACAGCTTGTAAAAATGAAGAGTTCTTGAGTTCTAAAATTATGGAGGATATCAAATTAACACATCTGTTTCTGTCTTTATTTTTCAGTGAAATGTTTTTCTGTTGATTTTTGACAAAAGCATTTCCCATCAAATCAGGCGTTTGGGTTTCAGTTTTGACAAATGCACTTCTAAAAATAATTCTTACTGCAAATTTTGAGATTAAGGTTGAAAACATAAAATTAAAAAGCTGTTTTCTGCTTGCCTTTCAGTTACAGTACTTGAGTCATGAATTGCTTCTTGCAGCTGCCAGTGACTGGAAATGCTTCCTTTCCTCTAAATAAAAGCTAGTATTTTCATGGAATTGCACGTCTTCAGAATAAAAATTAAATTATTTAGAAAGTTTTATAAGATCATCAAATCTGTTAATAGAAACAGTATACGTTTTTTTTCTTCCACTTCCCTCTGTTCCTTACAGTTATTGGTACTGGCATTTAGTCTGTAGAGAGAACTCTTCCTTTGCTGCTGGAGCCACCTAAGCTGTATTGAGCTGCTCAGTGTAAATGTCACACATAAAGCTGTACCATGTGAAGCCATATAAAGGATAAATACAGACGTAGGGCATGTGATGTATTGTATAATTTCAGAGTGCAAAGGAGCCTCCATGGAAGCTGTTGCTTTATGTCATGCTCAGGACTTAAGAAAAATAGGAGGTAATGAGACCCAAAAAGATCCCTGCTTATGTTTTCTTACTCCTCTTGTCTGTGGCAGTTACGCTTCCTGGTGTCCTGTCCCACAGCTGTTCTAATTGAGTGGCAGAACTGTGGGCTTTTGGATGTTGAAATAGTCAACAAGAAGAATGCTTTAAAATTCAGCGGGGTAGAAATCTATTGGGGAAGCTTGTCCATTACAAGGATTTATGCATTATTCATATCTATTTGTTTTTCTTTGAAGTACTACAAATGTTTGGTTGGTTTGTGATATTTTAAAGATCATTTTGAACTGTTCCATTATATAGTTTTAAATATGGTTATTTTCTTTTTTCAGTTGTATCAAGATTGGCAAATGGCACAAATATTGCCATTCAAAATAAAAGAATGACAAACATATCTCCTTGAAAAACAGGTCTATACTTTCCATCTGTTTCTGTAGTCAATAGAAAATGGTGCAAGTTAGCATGTAGCATTTGATAATTTGAATTTTCTTGACGTATCAAATACTGGTTCATTGTTATAAGTGCTGAACCATGAATAATTTACTGGCTTTCTCTTTATAATATGCAGTGTCTGCTAACTTTGAAGTTCAGTAGTCAAGTCAAAAGTTTTCTGGAGCTGACTAATGATTCACCAGAGATTTTTGAGATATATTTTTGTCATCAATTTAAAGCTTGGAGAGGTTTGCTGTTGCAGCCATCTGGTAATTCTTGGTTCTCTGGAGGAAAGAGAAGCCTTTTGATAAAGTAGATCAAAGCATTCTGCTCTTTCAGTGACTGATACCTATAAGTAACTTAGAAGTTTCTCAAAATTATTTCACAACGCCTGTCTCATTTGCCAAACTTTTGCATTATAGTTACAATACAATATCGGTCATGAATTATATTTTAATTATATTTAAATCACTATTTAAATACTTCTGATCACGGATAATTTATAGATCTAAGGGTTTTGTAAACCCAGAGATTTCTAATTTACCAAATATGCTGTCTTGGCGGATAAAATCCATGCTAAATCTTCTTGCTCTGTCTGTACTAACTGTACAGGCAAGGGTGCTCTCAAAGACTGTACTTCTGCTATACCATCAGCCTAAGAAATACACGTACCTCTTAGACTGTAGGTGATATACAACTATAGTGTAAAAATATATATCATGCTAACAGGATTAGTTCTAGAAATAGTAATTGGAATTGTGGCATGGGGTTTACAGATGTTTGTCAGTGAAGAGCGAATCTGGAGAGAGAGAAGGAGTTAAGTCGAGAAGCGTGCACTGCAATGTCCACTTGAAATGAGACCAATCTAACACTGGCTTGTACACACGCATTTAAGATTTGTCTGGAATCAGAACGTTGTTTCGATCCCATCAGACATTCCGGGTGTGCAGTTGCCATGACCACACATGTCCAGTCTTCCCAAAGAGTGAGTTTATTGCATCACAAGTGCAGCACAAGCAGCCTAAACAGAATAATGAAATTGGCTTTTACCTTGCAAGTTGTTTAAGTTAAAGGATGTCTGGGTGCTATTTGGTGCAGTGTTACAATAGAAGAAGGGGAAAGCATTAGCCTATAATGCACCATACCTCTGTGCATGAAAAGAGGCAGTATTCTCCTGCTAGGGGTGAGTTAGTGCGCAGTCAAACTAAGGAGATGTGTTTATGCTGTTTGCCGTTATATTAGAAGGTCCTTGTAATGCCTGATGTACTGACAAAAGAAAATAATTAAACCTTGTATGTCACACTGTTCTCAATTAAAGTCTAGCAAGAAATTTCAGAAATAGTTGACGTGTCTTGGGATGTAACCTGTATCATCCTAACAACTACATACAGTGTCTGTCTATTAGTAGATTAACCTTATTATCATTTAACCATTCAAAGTATAATACTGGCTAAACAACAGATGTCAGTGAATACTAGGTAGTTACCACAGGTTCTTCACATTTGCCCTTCTTTACATTAGTTTGAAGAGAGGGGAAGATTTCTAAAGAGGCTGAGTTTTTAAGGACTTGATAAATTTAAAATGCAAACTAGGTAGCTAATATGGTACTAAATTCTCAGAAGATATAATGATGGAAGTTTGGTGAAATAGTAGCTTATTTTTCACATGTTAAAATTTGCTTGAACTCAGATCTAAAAGTGGCATAGAAATAGCAGAAGGTAATGCCATGTACTTTCAATTGTTGTTATTGTTTAAACTTTTCAGTGAGCTATCCAATATAGGTCTGGTGCTCTTGTTTCTCATTAATCTCACAAACTTTGGTAAATTTGTAATTCCATACTTAATTCCACAGTTTTATGTTCTGTTTGCTGTATCTCTGAATCAGATGTATATGCTTACCTGATTGTTTACCTCCTTGTCTGCTCAACATGTGCTTCCTACCAGATACAGTTGAACGTTTTTTTTTATTCTTTGTTTTTTTTTTTTCTTTTTTTTCTTTTTTTTTTTCAGTGTGGGAACTTTGCTATTTTGGTGGACGTTCATATTTTGCCTCAAGACTCCAGTAACGACACCAGCTGGTTTTCAGATCATGAGAAAGAGGTACAACAAATATGAATTATACTTCAAAAGCATGTGGCTGCAGGGGAAAAGTTGGATTGCCTTGAACTGTTCAGAATTTTTCAGTGTTATGGGAATACTGTTAGTTATACCTAACTGTCAACGGTTGCTGTGGGACTCCTAAGTCAACCATATGTGCTTTTTGGGTCACTAACGACTCTTTCCAATTTGCCTTTCATTTTTCAAACTCTGTGCGTGTGCATACATGCATGTATGCATGACGTTTTGATTGTTCTAACAACTTTTAATTTTAAAAACATATTTCTTGTGAATGTTTGTAAATTATCCTGAGTGATATAAACCAGATTGTGACAGGTATTGTTTTTGCACTGCTTGTTGGTGAAATATCTTTCTATTAATTGTTTTTTCTCATTCTGAGAAGTGTGAATGATGTTGCATTTACAGAGTGCAAGAAAAAATAATGAGTATGCATGATAAACTATAGGAGAACCACTGTATCTTAAGAAAAGAAACTGCCAATCTTTATTTTCAGATGTGTCATTTGTATAGCCTGATGACAGATGAAATTTTGGAAAATCGTCAGTGACCAGCAAAATTATTAATGTAACTTTCATCAGATTCTGTGTGATTTCTGCTACAATCTTGTGATGAGTTACTGGAGGGAGTTTTCCTCTCTTTCACTCTGTGTGGGAACTTGAGACGTTCCCTATTGAAAATGAATGCAGGACGTTTCAGATGCCTGTGGACTTTCCCGCAAGTCTCCGTTACGGTAATTTTCAGCAGATAGCTTTCCTAATAATGGCATAATTAACTTGTCACTGCAGAGCATCCCTGTATGTCTCGAAGTAATAAGTTTAAATAAAATTTGAAGAAACAATACATTAATATCCCGAGGGAGTGAAAGTAGAATACTGAACAGCATGTGGTTCATCCGATTTGTGCTTTATTAAGGAGCAAAAGAAGAAAATAGGGGAAATCTTTCAGACTTCTTTTTTTTTTTTTTTTTTTTCTAATTAAATGAATACTCATTACCCCTTCTATTTATAACCAGTTTTACTATCCTGGCTATCTGACTTTTAAGTGTTTTCAAAATGTATTTTGTAAGACTGCCAAAGCAAAAGATATGAATTTCAGGAAATTAGATCATGATTGATTTAAAAAAGAGGCATGACAGGGCAGCATTCATTACATTTCTGTGACCGCACATTTTGAGTGAAGTACAAAGGTTGCATATTTTTGAGAACTGAGAAGTGCGACTCCAATAGCTTTACAATTCACTCCCTGAAAGTCCTATGCAGAGTCTATGTTAAAGGGGGGAAAAAAAAGGTCAGTGAGGCATTACAGGCAAATTATGCCTCCTTTTTTTTTTTTTTTTTTAATTAGTGCTTTTACATGTTTACCACAAGCAGTTTTGCAAATTTTTGTTGTTTCCGAATTCGAGAAAATACTAACGGTGGTACAACCCTCTGCTTGTCTGTGGGGAAAGCAGATGCCTCTTAGACCCCTTGTAACACAAACACGATTTTTGCCGATCCCCTGCTTACCCTGGCTGAAAGTCGGGGGCTGCTGTTTGGGGCAAGGGGAGCCTGGCCACGGGGTCCCAGGCAGACGGAGGGAGGGGCGCTGGCCTGGCAGCTGCCCGCTCCTGCTTGGAGCATGGGTCGTGTAGAGCAGGCTGGGAACTAAATAAGTGCCCGTAAGCATGAGGCTGGGGTAAGAAAATACAGAGCACGTTGTCGAGGTGGGCATTGTAAAGACCCCAGTTTGCACGCGGCTGTCACCTGCGTATTGGGATTGCTGCGAGATGCAAATGGAGGCATTTGGGAGCTGTTCTTTCTTCCTGCCCTTCAGATTTCCCTGCCCTTTCTGTCCTATCTCTTCCTGTGGAATAACAAAGTCAAAGTTTTATCTTTGTACTTCAAGAAGCATTTATTAAACTGATTTCTCTTCATGTCATTGCTCTGATCTCTCCCTGTGCATATAGAAGGTCTCAGTTACAAGTTCTTTTTAGTAGTGGAAAGTATGTAGAGACGATTCTCTTGAAGCCTGCTCTTGTTTATGCTTTCTTAAATATAGGTCTGTATACGTCTTTGTGGAGAACCATTTAAAATAATATTTCCATAAACATAACTAAAATATTTTCCACGTAAATTAAGGAAGTGCATGCTAATCTTTATTGTTGCAGAATGAACCAAACGCACACTGTGTTTCCGCTGCTTTCTAGACCCTTTCATTCTAACCTGAACGCATAGTCCTGTGAAGGAATGTGTAATGAGATCAGTTTAATGAGTTAAACAGAAGAATAAGTAAATACAGTATTTTATAATTGCACTCTTCAAGCAGAAAGGAAAATTAATTTCTTACTGTAAGGAGAAAGTGCTGTTTGTGGTTGACCAATATATGTGCATTTAGAGCAATAAGGTAAAAATTTGTTGTTGTGCATACTTTCTAGATTAATCAAAAGTAAATTTCAAGCCAAAATATTTTAGTTTAGATAGTACTAATATAATTTTGTCTATTGTCCAAACACTGTAAAAAGGTAAAATGATATTTTTGTGTGCCACAAAGTATCATTTCTGTGAGCACACAGCTATGCACAATGGAAAATGAGAATACTGAGGGAAAAGTCTCAAATATGTGTTTATGTATTAATCTGAAAATTTATTCTGGTATCCAAGAGATTAAGTTTTTGCTTTTACTCCAAGTTTTTTTCTATGATTATTCTGGCTGAAGGGTTTCTTCTTCTTGTTGTGTGTGGTTTTTATTGTGCTTTGCTGAAGGAAGTAGGAAAGATATGAATGGTTATGTTTAGGAGCAGAAAAATCAAAATGAACTAGAGAAATTAGGTTGCTGTGACCTGATTAGCTCTGAGTCTTCACCCCAAAATTACACTGAATTGAACCGAAATATTTGTTGTGGTTTATAAGGATTCTTGCAGAGAAAGAGTGTGTTGACAATTCCTAGGAGGATTTTTACTAATATTTTGCTTAAATACCTAATGTTAGGATACATTTTTAACATGCTTTTTTTGCTGCTTTGCAAAAAAAATTAAACTAATTTGCTGTTAAGAAATTATTAGTATTACAATATATTTCATCTGCCAAGTGAGAATTTCAAAATGTACTACTTAGTTCGTAAAAAGATTATTTGATTCCCCCCCTGCAATGTTCCCATTCATTTCCTAAATTATGTGCTTCTCACCCTTACGTAATGCCTCAGTACTTAATTGAAGATAATGTTTTTCCTTTTTATGTGAAAGGGAGTAATTTTATATTGATTTCTTCTGAGTGTCTCTGGGCATATATGTCAGTGAAGTTCTAAATACGTCAATGGTCACTCTTACAGGAGGTCTGCATGCTACTAGAAGATGTTGTTGCTTCAAGGGTCAAACACTACCTGGAAGAGCGTAAACAACGTGGTCAATGGAAATCAATGGAACATGCATCATCTGGCCCTTTGTTTCTTACCGGTAAAATAAATTATTTAACTTATTGTGAAATAAAGTAAGATAAAGTATGGTGGAAGCTGCCGTTCTTTATTTTGTCCCTGAGAAATTTGCCACTGGGAAAGCCAGTAGGCCTAAAATAGCTGGTGTTTGTGTCTGAAATTACATCAGCTCTGTTACTGAAATAATTAAGTGGGTTTCTGTGTTACTGAAAAATGAATATAATGCTTGTGCTATTAGTGTGAGATCCTATCATTAGAATTAAAAAGAATAAATGATATAGTCCTAGGTCCTCCAAAATTGATGGAAACGTTGCTGGTTTAAGTCAAGTCTCTTTTCCACTTGAACATTTAGTTTAGAAGTTTTGAATTTAGAAATAATATCTTCTCCCTCTATCTGACAGTCTGTTCAGTCTTAAAAGTTTCTGTGGTGTGATAAAGGGCATTTGTCATTTTCCCGGTGTTCCTGGAGGCTTGGCAGTAGCGATGATGACCTTGGGAATAATTACTGTGCAGAAGAGAACCGCAGTAAGAGCATTTACCCAACTGGAACTTTTTTTCTTGTGTGTATGAGGGTGGCGAGACCAATAGGTGCAATTTCAGTACATGCATGTTTTAAACTAAAGATAATGATCACTATAGCTTGTGCTCTAATGTTAGATCAGCTTTTGGGCTTAAATGGCTTGCCAGTTTTTGTTTAATGTTATGTTGCTAGCTGTTGTAGTCACCATGGTGGGGTTTCTGGTTGATAGACCTATCTGTTGGTGTTATATCACACAAGCAATTTATTTCTAAATACTTCTTAGAAATTAATTACTTTTTTTTTTTTTTTTTTTTTTAATTATTATTGTTACCAGCCTGGAGCATTTTATAAACTTGTCACAGAAAAGAGGGGCTGGGATAGTAAAGTCTTGTATTGGCTATGTTTTCTCACATTTCCTTGAATATACTGAAACAGATCTCTACTGAAATCTGAATTCCGCAGTGAATGTCATTACATACTTACAATATACAAGCAGTATACTGATACAAATTTTTAAATTCAATGCATATTATCAGTTTTAATTCTGAACAAATTCTTTGCCTCTCAAAATGTTTTCAGTTATTGAAAAGGTATATTCCTATAGAATTCTAGTCGATGGTTGGAGGTTTAAACACTTATTACCAATATTAATGAGTGTTTTTAATAAAGAAAACACAGGTTAAATACTGTATGGCTGGCTATTATTGCAAAAATTTAGGCGTATATGGGAGCCAGATTGTTATGACATGACGGGGGGAGTTTTTTCCACCCACAAGAACACAGTACTGCATAAGCAAAAAGTACTTCAGGACACTAAAGGATTTTCAACCCCTTTTTTTCCTTGTAACTTGTAACTACATTTTATCCCTTTAAAATAATATTTGTAAAACACATGAACTTTCAGACCCACATACTTTGCTGGTTTTGAGTGAACAAGTAGAATTTTCGTATGGTAAAAGCAGAGGGACATTACAGAAGGTGGGATCAGAATTTCTAAGATTTGTTGAGGTTTTTCTGTATTTTCTTTTACTGAGTGATAAATTTTATTACTTATTTTGTAAAGTTTCCCGCTTTGGGAAAAGGTGGGTTTTCAAAAACAATGATTTTGTAAGATAAAACTGCCAGACATAATTGTTTTTATATATGCAGACAGATGCAACACTAATTTGAGGGTGTTCATGTGATTTTAGGGTCTTATATTTTCTTTGATATCATGAACTTTTCAGTCAAAATACTGGTATACTGTCCCAGGGTTGTGCACTGATCTCCTGCTTGACTCTTACCCTTATTTCCTGAAAGTGAAAAACTTAAGGCTATGCATTTGAGGTCATCAGTAATATCTGTGACAGTTTTAGATTAAAGAATATTTACTTTGGATGAGGCAGAATTACCGTTCCCTCAGTTTTCTGCAGTTAATCTCACTGTCATTAATTAACACTAAAGAAATAAAGGAAGAAAACAGTTGGTGATAACGAACATTCATGTTGAACTTAATTTCCAAATCCATCTCTTTCCTCTTCTCTCAGCCTGCTTTGCTCAGGGCTGTAATTTGTAAGAAAGGAGTGCTTTGTTCAAGTCCAAGAATCAAGTTTATTCAAGTTACGTTCGAGTCTGTTCTTACCTGAGGAGGAAATAACAGAATGGGCGGGTGTTCACCCGAGCAACTGGGACCTACCTCTAAGGGACTGACCCGTTTAGGTGAGCCACAAGCCTAACAGTCTTCAGCAGTTACCATCACCCAAATGTAGCTCCAAAACCTGTGTTTTGCCTTCCTCTCTAGGATCACAGGTTTTGTTTGTAGAGTACAGCGATATGTTTTTGTGTTTTTTCACAAACAGATGAAGTGCAAGATAGCTGGTCAGCGTTTAGCTGACAGTGTTTTGCAGTATACAAAGAAATGCACAAGCCTGGTGTGTGGCTAACTGCATGCACATACTGTAGGTGCTGCTGGTAAAATGTTTAAGCTCGCAGCTATTGTTGCATTTGGAGGTTATTAAAAGTTCTTGAGCTCTTCAAACTGTATGTGGTTTCTTTTGCTTAAAGTTATGCAAGTTTGTGTCTAGAGTTTCACTGCTGTAAAACACTTGCTGTTGTAAGGAAGAGTGCATCTATAGAAGGAACATTAGGATGCTTGTTAGCTGGTTATTTACTACTTCAAGTATCCCAGGTCAGCATTCTACCCCTATCTGAACTCACATCTTTTCAGGTCAATTTTAATTAGTTTGCTCCCAATGTTGCAGGATGTATTCAGAATTTATTAGAAGAAGAATTATTAGACCAGTATTAGTAAGATTTTAGACTACCTCTAGTATCAGAGCATGTTGTATGAGGATTTTCTTCAGAAATACAAGCCAGGCTACCTTACTTTGATGAGCAGATCTCATCCTGCTGTCTGGATCTGCTGAGCAGAGAATACTGTTGTTAATCTGGCTACCATAAGTATTTTGAAGAAAAATTTTTCACCTATCACAATTTCTTTCTAATACTAATGTTACTTTATGTTTAATATTAATATTATTTAATACCACCTTTCCATTTTGTGGTACATAATACAAATATCCATGCATGTTACTTGTTAATTTACGTTTCTTTTTCATTTAAGTTACACCCACACAGCAGTGTGTGGTGGGTCGCATACCATCTCATTAGGAAATCTGTGGGTGTTACACACAAGAGAAGAAAGAAAGAAAGAATGGAAAAATGAGAGAAAGTAGCCAAGACAAGCAAGTTCTTCCTATTCTTCCTTCTGTCTGAACAATTTCCCCACCCCTCCCAAATGGCCAGTATGAACAATTTGCCAAAGTAAGCTTTAATTTAGTCTTTGGACATAGGCTTTGGTATAAACTCTGTTTCCTGTGTTTAATTAATGTCCAAATGTGTTTGATTTTGGTTTGGTTTATTTTTTTAAGAGAAAACTAAAACGGGGTGATTTTCAGAGATTTAATTTTGCCCGCATCCAATCTCCATTGCCAAAATCAAGCAAGAAGGGCAACGATCAGGTATGGTTTGCTTGCATTATTTGAAGTTCAATGAATGTAAGCCATTCAATAACAAACCCCATCTATTAGTGAATTTCTCATTAAAAAACCTGCACTACACTTTAGAAATGTATACTGGTTAAAGTTAGAACTTAGGTTTTTCTATATATGCACCGTCCGTTTTCACTTTGCACCACCTGTGCTACTCAGTAACCCAAACTGGTTTTTAATGATGATGTTGAGCATGTTAGTGTGTTGTAATGCTCACCTACTGCAGACTTCACGCTAAAAGCGGAGCCTGTTTTTTCATGTTCCACAGAAGGTGGCTGTTTCTGATGAAGAGCAATTAAGAATTAAGTAACAAGAGGCTATGAAGAGGACCGAATGGAGATACTAAATACATGAGAGTGACAAAGGAAGGACTGTGGAAAATTAAGGAAGAAGGCAAACTTTACGTGGGCACAGAGGAAACAAAAAGGAGGATGCAGAAAGAAAGTATGGATGGTAGAAATGTCCACATTAGAAATGGAAGCAAGGAAGAAGGCATCTTGTAAACTGACCTTCTTCCCCCTCTTGAGGGAGGAAAAAGTTAACTATGTTTATCCTACAAGTAATTTTCAGATCTTCTCTCATTCCTTCCCTAGCATCCTTGTTGTTTTTCTTGGCTTGAGGGTGGAACATTTTTGCTCTGATTTCAGATCTTTTTCTTGCTCTACAGTGAAAATAATTGAAGAGCATGCTGTCACATGGCACAATGAGCTCCCAGCTTGATTTTTATCTACTTTCTCTGGGATTGTGTATATTTTTTTTTTTTTTTTACATATTTTCAACCTAGTTTTCTAAGGAAATGGGGCTTTTTCTGTTCATGTTTTCTCTGTGTGTGTCTGTCCATCTTTCCCCCCAGTTACTTTTTGCAAACGTGATTGAACTTTATTAACAGGTAGAAGTCACAGACATTAAATTTTTAGACATTAACTTCCGATAAGCTCACTAAAATGAGAAACTGGAAGACATACAAGCGCTATTATGAATAGTTCAGCCTTACAAAGATCTGGAGTCAAAGTTCATGTCTTATTTAGTATTAAAAAATATGTAAGATGCAATTTCATAAGAAAATACATTTCTGTTGCTTATGAAACTATTTGTTTGGCTCCTGTAAGCACACAGAAAAGATACAATAAATCATGATGGTAAATATTCTGCATTTTAATTTGAACATTATGATGTTTTTAAGGAAAACACCCTTTTTAGGTTGCCCTGGTTTGCTTTAGGAGCATTCACTATTACTGTAGAGCATGAATTGTGTAAGACGTTCACAGGGTATGTTCCATATTGCAGTCCTGTAGCAGCAAAATCATTCCCACCCTCCCAGCTGTTAACTCTTACTTCTCTGCTGTGGAACAGTGTTTTCTTCAGTTTTAACTAGAATCATTTCACCTATTTTGCTGAAAGAGCAACTTCACAAAAATTTGATGGGTGCAACTGGAGGGAAAGTAAGCTATGGCAGAGAAGCTACCAGAGGAG